GGGGGTAACGAGGGGCGATCGGCCTCTCTCAACCACCTCCCCATCAGGAATCGTAATGTCCGGAGAAAATCAAACAGGTTTGAAATTCAGTCGGCCATCATGGGCAAACAAGCGCCGTTTCTCAATTCACTAGAACGCGTGTACGGACTCCTGTTCTCACCAAGTCTGTTCTTGACTAGAACCCAGGAAAGTCTGGACTCTGGGAAAACAGGAGCACTCAGAATAAATCTGGGTCAACTGGAACAGCAGCGTACTGATGACATCATCACATTCAAAGCTCGTCTGGAGCTGCATTTCACCTCCTGTTATTAATAGTCTCTACATCATAATAAACTCTGACTTTTTTCATTTAGTGGAGGAATAATAATGAACAGTAAGATAAACATTAATCAAATGAACATTTTGCCAAATAAAACAATAAAACCTCCATCAGAGCCAGCGGTGCTTCCCGCTAAGCAGAGAGATCGCTGCTGCAGACGGGCTAACGTCGCAGCATGTCTCCCTTCCTCTTCGTTTTTGCCACTGCGTGCCAATTTTTCACCACAGTGGGCCAGTAAAACTAAACCTTATCTTATCTAATCTTCCTTCCTGTAATCCCACAGCTTAGAGGCGACCCAGGCAGGTTTATGGCCGACTCACCCGTGGGAGTGAGGTGAGAGACATCGCTGGGATTTTGGAGAAAACTCAAGAACTTGTAGATCTTTTCAAAGTCCACCACATATTCAAGTGCACTCCTTCTGCTTTCTGCAGCGGCGCGCTTCCTGGTTGGCCTGGACATCGCAGGGCGCTTAGCCGCCGCGTCGGACAGCGGGGCCGAGGAGTCGGAAGAAGAAGGGCTGGAGGCGGGGAAAGGAGGCGATGCAGAAGCAGGCTGTGGACGTCCTGTTGGTGGGCTGGAGACGGCAGCAGCAGGAGACGTCTGTTTGACAGCCGGAGGGGTTTTAGAAGGTGCTGGGAGGCCTCTGCATGCTGCTGCTGCTGCTGCAGGAGGGATGATAAACAGGTTAGGAGGAACTCTGCCAGGGTTTTCACCTACGGCGAATAAAAACAGGATGAATGAGGATCTTAACACAACAAAGGTTTTACAGCTTCTGTGTGGACGTAAGCTAAGCTAATGTTTACCACTCTGCCGGATGTTCCTTCAACACTCACCACCTGGTCTTTATCACAAACATCAGACCACTGTCTTCATTTATTGGGATTTAGACACATTATTTTTCTGCTTCTGAGTTTTTGTTTTGTCCCAAAAAAATGAAAAACCAGTCCGGTTATGGCATTAAATAAAAACAAAATCCTTAATGGGAGTTTCAGTGACGACTTCCTAAAATCCCAGGATTTTGGAGACTGGAAGAAAGTCCTGCTAATCTAGCTTGGTCACACTGTGACTTTACCTTTTTTATACCTCATCCAAAATCGCTGGGTTCTATCTATCTCTATAGTTCTGCTGCTATAGGCTTAGACTGCTGGAGGACATAGGGACCCCTTTTTCATCATTCTGCTTC